TATATCCCAAAAAATATTAAATTATAAAGAAAAAAAAATAGATTCCCTAACTTTTTTAAATCTATATGTTCTTATTATCAAAAACAATGATTTTAACAGTTTTACGTATATTTTGTATTTGTAACTTATATTATTATTATCGACTATTTTTAAAAGAAACTTAAATGTTTATTGGATTTTTTGAAATTTTATTTTTTTATTGTATTTTGACTATAATATCATGTTCATAGCAGCTAAAGACATAATTTATATTGTTATTATTATATATGATTGACTATTTTTAAACGCAACTTAAATTTATTTTATGATTTTTACTAGACCCGGGAGAGTTTACATGTTTCCGTTAGGTAGTACAGGAATAAATCCAGGAGAGTTTACACGTTTCCGTCAGGTAGTACTGGAGTAGACCCGTGAGAGTTTACCATCGGGAGAGTTTACAATCGCCCATCATGCCATAAAACAAAATATTCCGGAATACAAAGAACATTCTAATTATATGAAAAATTCCAATGGGTCAGGTATTGTTATTAACAATATTTATGGAAACAACAACATGATCCATCAAGTCCATAATAACCGCTGCTCATGTGTCACGCCGTCCGGTGAGTTGCCGGTGGATCTCCTGAACCCAACAAGCACCGCTGATCCACGGCAGTAGTATGTTTTAGTATATTCTGGATCCCCCGCAAAACCAGTGAATCCGGCTCCCCACCTTGCCTATAGCTCTATGCTATCACGTACGTACCCGACCATGCTCGGCCCGGCTTCTCCCCTCCCATCCATGTCTATCACTTACGTGCTTATTTTGTTGGGTGATATCCCCTCCCCCCCCCCATATTTGTTTATCACATATCTGCTATAGGCTTTAAGTGAGCGGCTTTACCCTTTCATCCATGCCCATTACGTATGTGCTAGGTCTTACCCATCCTCCACGAATCATAGTTATATAACTATTGTATTTTCTTCTAAGTAGAATTGTATTAATAATTTATGTGAAATAAAGACATGATAAATAAAAAAATTATTTTTCATTCATTGAAATAATATTAAGTTTTACAATAAGTATTTACATTGTTCTTACTTCGCCATTAAATGGATTATAAGTTGTAATTTGGTCATGGAATATTAAGCAATATGCCGAAATGGAGGCTGAAACGCTTTTTCGGTCTCAATCTCAATCCTTAGGTCAACAGTCGACGTTTTTACATTGTCGTTCTGTCTGCTCATATCCACAACTATAATCGAGGATAGTTTTTTGAAATCTGATCGAGTCAATAGAGGAGTAACATTATCACGACCATAGTAGGATTTCTGAAACTCAATATATGCACGGTATAATGCAGTCCCCGTGTTCTTAGTAAAGTCGCTTTGAGTATCTTCGTAAGGGAATACTTCAAAATTTAAATAAACCTTCAGGTTTTTAAAAATTTTTGAACAGGGGTCCATGATCTACAAAAGATTAAGAACCGATGCGATACACGTTAAGTATTACGTTTGATAATTTTTCAAAATCTTAAATACCTTTGTTAGCAAAAAAAAGAAATAGGTGCCTAACAGCAATTACCTATTGTAATATGCGTACGAGCGCACATTAAACCGATTTTGAAGGATTTAGTCATTATACGTGCCTCTTGCAGTCATCCATTGAAGATAACTTGATTTCACACATCGACTAATCTTACAGGTCTAATATATACTACAATTTCGTACCGGTGTTACAGTATAGTTTTACTTTTGGAAAAAACATAATAATAACAACACACGCACAGGCGCACAGAATACAATAAATATTATTGAAATAATAACATAACAGAATAATATTATCATTATATTATATCAGGTATTTGTTTTTGACATCGAATGGGACACCTATATTATGTAAACATACATATAACTTAGCACGAGACGCACATCGTAATAACTAATGATATATATATATATATATCTTTCACATAGGTACACGCTTTATAATATATATATATTTACAGCACATAATAAATATATATAGTATATAACACATTCATGGGTATACATACATCATTGACGGCAGTACATAAAACATTATTATTGTTTAATTATATTACATACATACACGACACACGTACGACCGTAATAATATATATTATATAATATGTACAATATTGGTACTTAGGTATATTATTATATTTGGTGTGCGGTTGATCTCTGCTCGGTACAATTGACCTAAATGATATTATTATATGTATTTCTAGTTATAATGTTACATAAAATCTATTTATAATATTATTTCAATATTAATATTATTAGCATTATTATTACTATCTTAAATCGAAATGACAATGTCGGCGGTATATAAGTATAGGAATACCGGACACGACATTGTATAGTGAAGGGGATAATTCTACACGGGGATGAGATTTGCGAGAGTGCGAGACAGACACGACTGCGCTTCATACGAAATGGTATTTTATTGAGTACTCAATACCGTCTCTCTTAGGTATTATACATTATAAAATATATTAGTAGGAAAACACGTCTGTCGAGAATGCGGCCACAATTTTGTCAGTGTGTAATAAAATCTGTTTAGTTTACAAAGGATCATTTTAAAAATTGTTTAAATATAATATTATTATTGATTACTATTGAAATACTAAAAAAAAAAAAAATATACACACAAAAGTATTTCTCAAGTAATGAAAAAGAAAAGTACCTACATCACAATTATGAATGTACTTGATTACAATACTCCAAATGTTTACGTTTTATAAAAATTATATTTAAATTAGAAAAATTGTAAGCCGAAATTTCAATTTTAAATGTAATTATATTAGTTATAATTCTAATCAAAAATACATATTATACTTGTAAAAATCATTTTGACATTGAAACGAACCTATTGTAAGCTATGTATGAAAAGTGTTTGAATACACTTCGAAACCAAAATATTTCCACTCGAATATCATAAAGCATAATAAATAATACATAATCGGATATTGACAGACTTTGAGTGGATACTTTTTAACAAAATTATAAGTGGTCGTTGAATGCTACAGAAATATCACCTCGCACCCAAACTTAAAATTAGCAGCCAAAAAATTTAAAAAAATTATAACAACCTCAATCTAATTATTCGTATTTTTTCGTTTTGATCATTTTATAACACGGTTGATCAAATATTTAATGTAATTTTTGCGTGTCAACGAAACACAGACGACCGTGATAACGTAAACACCCCAACGGGCCTAAAAGGATGTTTATACTTTATAGTGTTCGACTCCGAATTATCAGTGCGACACGTAGACCACACTGAATTATCATGAAAGCATCAAAAACAAGAAAAAGTAGACACTAAAAACTTAGAACGCGTTCGGAATGACGACGAAAACACATATTCTAAAAAAAACATCTTATCATATTATCGTAATATTTATTTATCCTACGCATAAAGTTAATAGGTGGGGGTCATCGATTTGACTAACGTTATACAGTCGGCGTTGAGAATTTTCGATTCTCGAGTGAGTTGAAAAAGTTTTAAATAATACGAATCGCGAATAGAAGAGAAATATACAGGAGGCATTTGTTGCACAAAAAGCGGTTTAATTACCGCGAACCGAGAAATTCACCGAGAACACTAAACATGAACTTCGTATAATATGTTTATTTGTAATATTTGTATAGTAATATGTCATAAGACGTGTCTCTGTAAACACATATGGGGGGAGAAAAAATCGTCACATTCTACTATACATCAACAACAACACGCTTACGAACTAAGTCTTAACAATATAGGTATGATTATAATAATAAATAATACATGTGCGTACATTTTGTAATTATTGTGAGAATTATCTCTGGGGCACTTCAGATCGATAGTAATATTTTATGGTTGCAAGTAAAACAATATTATTACATCAAGTATACAAGAAAAACAATCTATGCGTACGTACTCAATTTTCATAAATAGAAAATTGCTATATTATAAGATAGTGTTATTTTTTTATATAAAGTTTATTGAAAATCTATTTGTAGTAAACTTTAATTTATTTATCACTAAATTTAAAGTAATACAAGTTACAATTTTACATCAAATCTTAGGACATGGATCAAAAATTAAAAATCATATTCAAAATACTGACATTGAGAGTATAATAAAAAAAAAAATAATAATAATAAAAACAATGATGTATTTTAAGTGTCATTGTGTCTCTCTATTGTTGGCAATTAATTTACTTAAGGAAACAGCTGATATGTAGTTAAGTTTATTTGAAAAGTAAATCTTATATTTTCATTACAATGATGAAATGTATTACATAGGTATTAAACAAAAATTATTCATAAACATTATAGTGTTTCACAATTATACAGTTGATCAGAATACTAAATACGTATATTTTATTTAGAAAATAAATAGGTAGATTATCTGTGATAGAATTGAAAATTTTTGAATTAATTAAAATATTAAATATCAATTGAATGTCTTTTAGAAATTTGAAAATAATTCACAAATTATACAAAACAAATATTGTTGATAAAAAAAATGTTTAAAAAAAAAAAACATTTATTTTCAACATTGTTAAAATAAATGCAAAAATTAATTATTTTAGGTAAAAAATAAAAAAGTGACTTAATATTTTATTATAAATAAATAAAAAAAAAAATAGTTATTACAATAATAACTGTAATTGATAAGTAAAACCAAAAGTTTTCAACAAATATTTGTCAGAATTTCTCTACAATGTTGTATACAAAAATTTGAAAATAAATTAAGGATAGGGATTGGAGAGATATATTTTACGTACATAAAATAAACAAGGTTGAAAAATAATAGCTAAGTAATAACATAATAATTCACAACAAATCTTATTTTCCATACATTTTTTTCTCATTACTTTTTTCAGTTTATCATTTGTTCATAAAAAATAAATAAGAAAAAATGTAGTCAAGGGATTTTTTTTTAAACAGATTATTATTATTATTTGCATATGAAGTCAATGACATATGTTGAAAGAGGAAAGGTAAAGTAATTTAAATGATTTACTGTTATTGTGGTACAAAGAGTGTAGTGAGTGTTCGTAGCATGTACGTACGCTAATATATTGGCAATTAATTTTTTTTGATGATTTTCAACCGATGTTGAGGCTACCTTCGACCAATCAATCCGTTTGAGTTGCTTTGGTGTGCATTTGGCGATAACTCGAATTCCACTAACAGCGGAAAATGATCTGAAAATTAAAATTGTGTATAATAGTCACAATCATTGAAGTTATTAGAACAGAATATGTATTGAAAGATGTTTACCAGATGGTATATGAGGATGTGGACAACCAAGTACTTTATTGTCTTTGAACCATTCAGGAGCTAATGGGCCGAGTAAACCAAGAGGTGTCATAGTCTGTCTTGTGTAAAAAATATAATCAATGATGCCTTTAAAGTTGAATCTAAAATATAAATTTCATATGTAAAAAATAGATCAACAAAATTAGATTTTATATAACATACGTATAATTAGTAAATGGCATAATGTTTTCGTAGGCAGATGATAATTTAAAGGAATGCATAAACTCGTTTGGTCTATCACAAGTAGAAATCTTGTGTAAAAGTGTCTTATATTGCAAATCTTTAAAATCTTGATGATCCGATGATACTTTACCAGCAGACAAAAATTCTATCACTCCTAATTAAATAGAGAACACATAAAAACAAATTAAAAATTAAATACAATTATAATTAAAAACACACAAATTAAGATAATTTCATACCAGAGTCAGGCAACGAATTGAAATCCCCACATAACAACAGTTGTATTGGCGGTTGATGGTGATTCACATTACGATAATTGCGGTTAGCTTCCTCCAGTATAGTGTTCAGTTCATTTGATAACATCATGATTTGTATGAGCTTGACATCGCAGAATTCTGGATCCCAATGTATGTGTGCAGTGCAAACAAGTATAGGCTGTTGGACTTCCGATGGTAGAGCTAAATAACAATATATACTTTGTTATATAGGTACACTCGTTCATAATATTTACATGATAATAATAAACTAGTTTAATTTCAAACATGTAATAAAACTCAATGACTACTTAAAAGTTTTACAAGGAAATGACACAGATGACCAAACTAAATCATTATGTTGAACAATTTTTTTTTTTACTTTATATGTTTACTAAATATTATAAATACTTATATTATACTATATTTTTGGGGTTAACTCATTGGAGGTATGACCCTAGATATGTTCATATATATATTAATCTGTATAGTTATGTAACTATTATGCTATATAGTATTTATTGACCATTATATATACATATTTTATGTATTGTAATTATAAAAACCTCTTGTTATTTAAATAATGATGCCTAGGACAGTTTATTAAAAAATATATAAATATATTTATTTTACATATGTATAATGTATATTCATTTAATTTTTTTTTTACTAAATATTGTTTAATCGGGTAATAATTTAAAAAATTGATTGAAAATATAATGAAAATACAAAAAAAAAATTTTTTTTATGATTTCATAGTTTTACTTTAATAAGTAATAAATATTAACTTGAATTTTATTTAACTTATATGGCTAAATAAAATATGTTTAATTTAAGCATTAGTGTTAAGTACACAGTATACTATTTAATATTATGATTTATGACAGCAATGGAAATACAAATCTAAAATTGAATGGCTAAATACATTACTTCATGATTACCTAAGTGTCTACGTATTCATTTATTTAAATTAACCATAAATGTTTATTCATAGAATACAATCTATATGAAAATAAGATGTTTTTATCAATAAACTTAGTTTTTTTTCAGTGCTGATATCTCACCTGATGATCAATGATGAAATGTATAGTGTTTTGTTCAATGAACTTGAAAACTCTAAGGCTATATTTGTAAAATAAGATATTTTAAACAGTAAATACATAGTGAACTGGTATTTTGTAAAATAAACAAAGAACAACGTAACATATTATTGTATATAAATATATTAAAAAAAAAAAAAAATGTAAGTATAATAATTTAATAATCATAGACAACATTTAAATTAATGAGTATTAATAATTTCAATACAAAATAAACAGTGTATATAAACCACAGATGATTGCACACGGATAAGCCATTAAATACTTCTGATCAGAGTTGCCGAACATGGCGACAAATACTCTGGCTGCATTCATACTACTCCAGACCACAGCAGCCAACACAATGATGGCACCAAATATGTTCTTGAGGTTAATGAACACGGCAAGCAACGCTACCAGCACAACGGGCGTAAAAGAGTAGCCCAGTACAGAAAACGTGGACGTCAAAGTGACTTCTGAAGAATCGGTCATGGCCCAGAGTAAGCCATACATACACACAGACGTTAACACGGCCAAGCCATATATGTAACTGAACATTAGCTTGCCGCCGGCCAACAGCAGCAGCGAAGTGTAAGTCAGATACAACGCGATCGGACCAATCACGTCATAATCACCAAGCACAACACCACATTTGCCAGTTGGATCCAGTGAGTGCATCAAGCGAATGAGTATTTTGTTGAGGTCGATGCCAAGCTCTTCGAGCAAAGGAGGTTCATCTTCCTCCCCGGTAAAATTCGTCGTAGGTGTGGGTTGCCACGACGGGGCCGCCCGCTGGTTCAACTGGGCCGGTTGCGAATAGTTGTCAAAACTCTGATCGTAATTGGAATACGAACCGGTGTGGAAGTTGAGATTGTCATCCGACACAAAGTACGAGTTGTCCGGGTAGTATTGATTCGGATTCATGGTTATCGGCCGTTTATATAATATGTATGTGAGGAACACGAAAGAAACGAACACACGCCGCAAGCGAACCGTTAGACATCTATTAGAATCCGTGACATGACATACGCGACATTTAAAAGCGGCAATAGTAATGTAAAGTGTAACACTTATATCCACAATAAAATCGTCAAATAACAAACCAACAGGCAACAACACGATAACTGATAACGTTCGCGTAATAGACGATAACGAACAGGGCAGCCACGAGCGACAACGAAAACATTATGACATGCAAAAACGGGATGGGCGAGCTACGCGGCGGCGGTAGCCTCGGTATCTGTCGATCTTCGCGGGTAATAATGGTGTCGAAATATTTATCAATATTAATTATAATATTATCATCGTTGAACGGTAAACGGGTTTATCGTTAATCGGATTAGTCGGGTAGGTAATAGGCGAATCCAGGTGCGGCAAATCGGCATAAAGTATTGTACAAGGCAAATTTCCGGTTTTCGGTCATGTATGCGGGATTGCGGATAATAACGGTTTTTTAAGGCTACCACCTGACGAGACTCGCAATTTTGATCTTTTTTTTTTTTTTTTCCAAAACGTTTAGACCGGCGAATGCGAAATTGTTGTTTGTTGACCTCGAGTGTCGAGAAATCGGACATGAGGGACCATCGTTTTATAAATTTATAAGACAAATAGCAAATTTAGTCACGAAATTCACGTGATGAAAAAACTCGTTTGCGCGGCATTTACCAATATTATAATTATGTATATGATATTATAGCAAGTTTAACTGATTTCATTTTACTATGATGTTCCTATTTAGATACAAAAATGGTATATTATCAGGTAAACATATGTAAGAAAAGTATATTTAAAATTTTAACTATTCTACTGTTATCTACGAGTATATTCTGTATTAATGTACAATATACAACTACTATGATACAATAACGGTTAATTCATACCTAATATTATGGTTAGGTATGTCATAGTACTGTACTAATATTTATAAATGTAAAAGGTCAAATAATAGATGAATAATTTAACTTTGAAAAATATAAATATTAGAAATAGGATGCAATTATGTTGTTTCAGTCTTTCAAAGGTACCACCAACATAAGAAATTTTGCGTTACAATATAATTTGTTTTACTCTATTATGTTTAAAATTAGCATAGATTAACCTAGTTTAAAATTCAAATTTAAGATTATTATCAATATAGAATCTAGGGGTTTATATTAATATTTTAATATTAAAGCAAGTTATGAGTAACCGAGTTAACTTGATTTAATTTTTAAATTATCATAATTTTTTTTGTAATTAAAATATCAATAAAAATCCTCCGAGATGCCCTGAATAATAATCTTACCTTCACATTCTATATAATAGAGCACTGATTAATTCATTTTAATTTTAAAAATAATAAAGTAAAATAGTTTATTGTAAACGTGCAAAGTCCTAAGTTTTTAAGACGAAGCAACACAAACTGCAGGTATAGCATTCTTTTAATAATAAATTTTTATAAAAAGATTAATTTCATGTACCTATTACAATTTCATATTTAAGACCACTATTTTAAGAAAAAGGAAAAAAATGTATTTCTGGTCACTATATTACGTCACGTGTTTAAGTGTATACGCGTATGACTTTATACTACAGAGTAAGTTAGGAACACCGCCAACCTTTGATCAATATTTAATATACTTTACTTGACGCTGTACATCACAAGAAACAATAGTATTTTTTTTTATTACTTTAATACATTTATACGTCACACGTAGCAATTATTAAAACGTTCGAACTCGTAACAAATTTACCTTATTATCACAGAAAACATAACATATAATAATATTTTATACATAATGTATACGACTACCCGAGACATACATCACTCACTCCATTCGAAAGGCGTTGAAGCTAGTATGAAATCATCTCACACGCATGTCAATACGATATAATATACATAGGTAATACATTATGTATTATATATATATAAACGATGATGATGACGATGACGACGACGACGGTAACATTTTAAATTGCACAAAACAAATAATGTAATGATTTATAACGAACGTATATACACCTCATAGCGTGTTCGAGAAATAAAAACAAAATATTATACGCATCGGCATTCACACGTGCGACGAATTCAAATACATCCAGATATTTAATAGTGATATCGTGTCCATGGTTCATAGTAATAATACTGATATTAGTATACAGTATCGAACTTAAGGCGAATGGTATTAATGATTTAAAAAGTTAGGGGTGATAAGGTTCTACACATTTTAAATAAATATATCTAGGTAAGAGGTAACTTACTAGAACTAGATAATATAGTAATATGTCTAAAAAATTTCTATAAAAATATACACTATATGAGTTGAACAAGAGAGTACAGATATCTCTATACCGATCAATATTGCTTTAATAACGACACCTACAATATGAAGTTGTTTTTAACTCATTATATGTCTGATACACAAAAGAATTATAAAATTACTTTAATTGCATTAGTTTACGTTAATATATTATTATATGAGTATAAGATTTTACATAACCTGCATTACATTATATTAAATAGATTGTAACTTAGTTCACCAGTACGCAAAACACCTGCAGGCAAGGTGAAAAATATAAAATCACTAGTTTAACGAAAAATGTGTAAAGCATTTGTATGTGTTCAGAACAATAAATCAAGTGTTGCCTTAGAGCAAATATATATGCATAAATACACCATTGATATGGTATGGAGATATGAGTTATCATAAATGTGCTTAAAATTTACAAGGTATATATGAGCGTGTGTGTTAGAACATTATAGAACCGTGGCTAAAGCATGGATAGAATTTCAAAGAAAAAAAAATTATGAGAAAAATGAAAAAAATATCGCCAAACGATTGTTGTTAAAAAGTATCTATGTATATAGATACATAAACCACGAAGATAAATCAAGAAATTTGATTCTGTTACATGAGATATTTCATAGCTTTTATCAGGTCTAATGACTGTAGGGAAAAGATAATTAGGGAAACCCCTACAAGTCCAGAAATTTTAAACTAACGGAATTTTGGTTAAATTTAAATTTGTACGAGTATAAAATGAAAGGAAATTTTTGAAATTATTCATGAAGTTCTCGTTGGTCAAGGACAATTTTTTGTGCTGATTTATCTTATACTTTACATTCAAAAAATGTTTAAAGAAAAACAAGCACGGAAGATAATAATAATATAGTACAACGTTAATGATCAGTAATAGACGAAAAAAAAATGTTTTTTTTGCTAAGACAAAAAAAAATGAATTAATATAAATCAAAACTTTCAAAAAAAGAAAAACAGATAAGAAAAAAAAATGACGACAAAAATCAGTCGATAAAAGTATATTATTTATATGAATATATAATAATGTACATAGTTATCAATTTATAATGCTATATACAACTCCATGGAACGACACGATACCTACCGTCACAAAATGAGGACCGGCTGCAGATCATATTAATGTTATTATACCACATTACTTTATCATAGAAAGTTATAAAAACTCTAGGTATGTATAGACAATTTTCAAATAAGTATTTTGTGCTAATTTCAAGTTACTGAATGTAATGGGATATTTTACTCTTAACTTCCCGCATCCCTCTAAGTACCAACTATATCGAATTCGCTACTATAAATCATTCACTTTCATACATATTACACGCCATTACACACATAAATACATCATTATAAGACTAATATATTACATCGTTTCACTTAGAAACTAAAATCTAATTTGAAGTTTACGAGTTTACAAAAATTTCAATTTTCATACTCTTTAACTCCTGTATCGACTACTAAACAATAAAGTGTCATATAAGTAGTCCAGTTGGTTTCATAGAACAAAAATTGGAAACCCTATGGTATCTTCTACTCTAGAACCAGAAATGTTTTATCTATAAAGCCTTCGCTGCAATGTATATAATATACTATACAGTGTGTTCAACGATAAAGGTAACACGAAATATTTCGAACGCATGACCTTATGCAATTCGGGTTTTGTAATGTATAAGGACATAAAATTACATTTATTTTGATAAATCTTAATTTTTTAAAAAAAAATTCTGCGCATGCAACAAAATAATTTTTAATGGCACTTTTTTGAGTTCAAATTTGAATTATGTGAATTTTCAAGCAACTTTGACCTTTAAGTTTTGCTCTATCTTCAAAATTGACTGATTGAGAATGAGTTAAATTTTCGATTTATAACATTTGTATTTATCGTATTTTCAATAGTCTACTTAGAGTTTACAAATTTATAAGTGATTTCGTATGAATTTTTAAAATTTAGTATACCATCATAATTACAAGTAATTTACTGAATAAACTGAATTAAAATAATAGGATATGTGTTAGTTTGTTTAATTAATTAACCAATTATACCATTTACAAAATTTGAGTTAAAATTTCTGTAGAATTAATGTAAATTACTTGTAATTATGATGGTATACTAAATTTTTAAAAATTCATACGAAATCACTTATAATTGTAAATATATGATATTAAATACGATAAACCTCAAATATTATAATCGAAAGATCTCGTCTCAATCGATCAGACAAACACTGGATCAAGATGCTGGCATGTCAATGAACTCAAAAGAATACAATAAGAATATTTTACTGTCTGCAATACAAATAATTATCAAACATCGCTATACAAGCCAGGTAAATCTTTGAATCAGCATTATCGATTAATTACTAACCAACTGAGGGTGAAGTGTCGTGCTTGAATACGAAAAATAAATTATCGCTGAGAGACTGCAGCAGCTATGAATGTTTATCTTATTGTAACGAATTACATAATTTCTTGTACGTATACATATGACTCGTAATTAATAATTAAACAAATTAGCACCCGTGCAATTGGTCTCGCACATGTACTTTATACAACGTGCTATGTACAATAAAATAAACCTCGTTACGTTTATTTTGTTTAGAGCGGAATTAAATAATCGTTTTTTTTAGTTTTATTATTTCGTTCAAAAACACTATATATATATAAGCACGACAGCAAACGCGATAAATACATATTATAATCATACGTTCTAATTACTAACATATATACGTTACTTTGTATATTATGTATAATAATGTACGTATAATACAATCATTGCAATTTCACGCTCAACGATTAAAATGAATTTCTTACGCCCGCTACCGGAGACAACTATATTATGGTCTACTTACTTGCACAAAGATTAACATATACGATAGGTTATAATTTAATAGCGATATGTTTTGTAATAACATGTGGCAATATGCACAATACAAATACGTATATTCTGCTGCATTCGCGGCAACGACGGAAATTTCGATTTTTTACCAACGTTTGAATTTAGGTATATTAGACAAACGTAGTAAAGTGTATAGACTTTTTAATTTTACTAGTCACATTATTTGACGCGTGTGGCAGCGAGCCGCGAGATATGACAATGACGGGATAAAAATCAGATGATCGCAAGCATTACAAGATATATATTTAATGGTTAAGCACACCTTGAAAAGAACACATTTTTATTTATTAATATGAACTGTGAACGCGCATGTATATACACGTGATATAATATCATACGTGGATATATGTGTGTGTGTGTGTGTGTGCGTGAGGGGTATACGGGGATCTGTATTACAACGTATCTATTAGTGTTTTTAAAATCAAATTGCGTCTATACAACTATATCATTATAACGATCAAGTATAGCGTATTAAAAATATAATAAATCATTTTCTACGTATTATTTTAACGAGTGCGCGATTGAAACCGAAATCTCTGTATAATATAGTACTTATTATTATAATATACGCTCTTATTATTGGAAATTACGTCAAAATACGCGCGGCGTATAAAATATAAAATATATTTACCGTCTATACTTCGGCTCGGTGTCCGTCCGGAGCAATATATATTGACCTATTCAATTGCTAATGACGACCCCAGGGCCCTACTGACTTTCACTTATTATTATCATTATACACGTCGTCTCCGCGCCGATCATAATGCTATTATTACTATTATTATACGGCAGGTATAGGTATACGCATAATATATATTATACACGAGTTAACGATTCTATTGATCATCGTCGAGCGAGCATTATCCTACATAATTTTAAACTATATATTACTATATTTATAATATACACATTCGAGTTAACGGGTGCGTATATTACAAGTGCCTATATACATGGTATACATTATATATATATATGCATATACAAGTGTGTGTGTTGGCAATAACGCGCACGTATATAATGGGCGTTATCGACTTATCGTAGCGCGAAATCTTTTACTTATCCTTGAAATGAGTATATTATACACGTATAAAAATATACCTATATACCGATATGCACGCGTGCGTGTGTGCGCGTGAGTTGTGTGCAACGAGTTAATCGAAAAGCGATGATAAACGTTTATTGCGACCGCGAGGAGGCCTATATTTTACACGTATCTTCATTGCACGCGAAACGAACGCAGGAATTATGAATATTCCGTTTACAATCGTACATCAAAACGTTATTCATTAATTTGCAAGTACGTATATAGACGTATATAATATAATGTAACCGATACACGCATACTCCTAAGTACTCGTGTTTATAATATATATAAATGTATATGTGTGTGTGTGTGTATTTGTGAGTGTATATGACGTATGGGTAGTACGTTTCAATCTGCACTCTGCAGCCAAACGAGACCAATAAACACTACATAAATAATGCATTTATATTTGTAGAAATCCATGTATATAAAATTATACCTGGTGTAGTTGACTTACAGTTTTCCCATGCAGTTTCGTTGGTTTTCAACAAGGCAGCTAAACCGATGTTATCCCTGGGCATGACTCGGTTGAGCATGTCATCCGAACCACTCGAATTGGCCATTGCTAGTTGATTGAATTCTATCAGATGTTCTTTGATTAATGTAAATCTAGAAAGAAAAAAAAACAGAAACACAAAAAGCTTTAAGTTTTTATACACATTGAAATTTCAGACATGTTACAGAGAACAAACGTAATATAATTTGATTAAAAACAATAAATATAATATAAGTACCTATACAGTTGATGTACAAGACATTAATAATTGTAGCATCCTCTCCCGACTTGTATTAACAAAATCGTGGACTATACTTAATTTACCTACTTTTCTGATTACGAATAAAACTTAAATTCTATATAGGGCTTTATTGAATTACAATAACGTGTTAACTATTTAAACTTAATTGCCAAAAACCGAATTTAATCGTATAAAATATATATATTAACTATTGCTAATAATTCGAACCATAAAAACTATAGACATATAAAAAAATTACCAAATATAAATTCGTATAAAAGAGTTAAATATCATATTGGAAAAATGTGTAACGCTGCAAGATGATCTTTCTTTTAAAATTACAATCTGATTAAATAATATAGGTAGTAGATATATACAATATACATACATGTATATATATATATATATATGAAAATTTAATATTATCTAAGCACAAGTATATTTATATAATATATTATGTCTAAATTAGATATACAGCGACCGTCCCAATCGGTTATACTATTTTTACGCCAACCTCTTTAGTAGTCAACTGCAGAAGCGTTACAACACATTATTGTACATGTTGACGGCAAATCGAACAGTTAAAACTCGACTCCATAAGTAGGCTGTTAAACAATGCCCCTAAAATTGTAAGTACGCCACTGTCAGCAGTAGAAGACGGCAAGAATAAGATGGATTTTTTAAACCCTGTAAAACCACGTGTTCCTAAAAATTATGAACGGCCGAAATATTTTTACGAATAAAACACACACATATACTGAGTGATCATACCAATTCATATAAGTAACGATTATTTTTTTAAACAATAACTAATGCTTTCTCTTGGAAAGTATTAAAATTTTCACATATTTTTACTATTGAAATCATTATTATTTTTAAGTATCTTTTTATCTTTATTTTAATTTCATTTTCAGAAACAGAATATATTTTAATAAATATTTATATAAATCTAATTAAACGAGTACTTTAGGTAATTAAATACATGTCTCTGTAGATATTTTTGTAAAAAATATTAAAGTATACGCATATTTTTATGTACACAAAAAATTTCAAAAATGTATATAATAACATACACTAAAATACTTGGAAAATGGTATAGCTTTTAAATTTTTACTAATGATGTAAAAAATATAAAAACATTTATTACGTTTGTGATGTTAAAGATAATGAAGGTTTACTTTACTGTTAAAATAATCTCTCAAATCTCTTTTGATATTATAACAAGTAATTATATACTGTGACAGTCGATGCGGATTTAAATCAAATTTGTGTTAAAAAATACAAATGTACCTTTTTTCATCAAAATATGAAATTAGTTCATGTATAGTTCAAAGAAAAAAAAGTTGACCAAAACGCCAACCACCCAAAATAATCCTACAAAGAGTGATTGTATGCCGATCACAAGTGGTCTCGGATTCGTTTCCAATATTGGAAATCCGAAGGAGATATTATGTATATTGTATATATACAACAAACACGTATTTAATTGGTATACGTTACCTTATCAAACCTGATGCATGTGTGTCAAAAACCACTTATAATTATAAATGGAGCTATGTACCCCAAGGCTTTGAACACAAGTCATGACCACAACCAGAACAAAAAACATATAATATATATAGCGGTGAATAAAAATGAAATACTAACTTGATCGCTCGGAAGAATATTGCACATCCATCAACTCGTTTACGGTCATTTTCGGACATAGTCTTAGCTCTTGACTTGGGGGAAAAGACACCATCGTAGCCGTCCTTCTTAAGCTCCGGCAAAAAGAAATTGTAAAATTGATCCGTTTCGACCTCCTGAAAATTCAAACAAGTTAATTATTTGTAATTTTTGAAGTTATATCAAAGTTTATCATATCTATTTGTATAAAGTACTAAGTATTATGCTGACAATAAATAAATAAATAATTAACAATCACTACAATAACTAATGATTCATTGTGGACACATACACCACCAATGTTGGCTAAACGGAATTGAATAATATTCAACTTATTTCTATTCAAAGATATACCAATACTACATAAATATCAGCTACTACCATCGATTATAAAATGTAAGTATTTATAATCTATACAACACTAAACCTGTAGTACAGCGTACACACATATTCGCAGGTAACATGAGCGCGTGATATGCGTACACATTAAATTGCAAAAACTATAAAATTAGTAATCTACAAGTTAAGTTCTTTAATGATTGCATTGAGCATAACTAAAATTGTTTTTAAAAATTTGGCTAGACCTAAAGAATATACCGAAAGTAGTAATTTTTTATAATAGTTTAATATATTATATTTTTGTCTTTACATCTTTATTATTGAGTAATCATTTTTCATAAAAAACAACTGTAATTTTAAATTATGAAGTCCTGTTAAACACGAATAAGAAGCGGAACGTACATTTTTTTTTTTTTAATCAAAACCTAAAGCTTTGGGGAAGAAAAGATCTTTATTCCGTCTTTAATCGTTACTTGTAAATCTAGGAACCCAATTAATTGTTGAAAATTGAATTTATATAAGTGTACTAGTACTAAATTAAAAATATATAACGCACAATATTAGTATTTATTTTTAGTTTTATGTAAATACTGAAGCATAGCATTTACTTACATATATGTTAAATTAAAAAAATAAAAGTTATTTAAGTTGTAACCGTATCAGTAACTCAATTAGTTGAACACAATATTAAAATTAAATTATTAAATTCTATTTTATCATAATTGATTTAATTTAATCTTGTAGCATAATTCCCAAACTTTTTTTTTCCATCGCGGCACATAATTATATAGTTATTATAAGTCACGGCACAATTTGGATAAATATTAAATATTATCTACTTTTCAAAAATAAATGGTTTACATATGTATATAAAGTTCATTTTTTCAAGGCACACCTTTCAAATTTCACGGCAGTGTGCTGTGGCAGGTTTTTGGGAAACACTGATCTATACTGACTATACTATAGATTACATTAAACAAATAAAAAAACCATCATGTTTTGTAATCTTGACGAAATATAATATCTATAGAATGATTAGAATGTGTGTAGTGTATTTGTGAGTAAAGAAAGAATTAACTAAATTAAGAAAATAATTTAACAGTCTAGGCCTAAACACGTACTTGTAAAGTGATGATGTCGGCAGTATAATGTCGGATTTCGCCTAAAATGACTTTTTTCCTATAATCCCAGGAAAGGGCCCAAGATGGACAGTAACCATACATCTGAGTAGTAGCATATTTTTCACATAAAACGTTATAACACATCACAGTAACTGGACCTATAAAGTTAAAAAAGATAAACAATATAAGTTTTAAAACGAGTAGTAATTATAAATAAATTATTATTGTTATAATACACTATGGTGACTCACAGGAAGGAATATTCTTGTTCGGTCTAGATAGAGGTATCCATGGTCTTCCCGGGGGCACAGGTACTCTCACTACAAAAAAACAACAAAACAAAATTATATAAATAAATAAATTTTTAATTAATATCATTAAAATCACAAAAGTGTTAAAGTACAGTAGTAAATATAAATATACAACAACCAACACTGTACATATTATAATAAGTAATAGTAAGTGATATAATTTCTTTTTTTCGTCCAATTATTAATCGTGTCAAAGGACTTATTCCAGGCTCGCACACAATACCCTCTACCGCAGTCGTGTGAAAGTTCCACACAGCCACACCACCGCCAAACAAAACGAAAAAACAGTAATCGTAAAAAGCAGTTTCGACAATAATAATAATATATTAGGTCTAAATAAATTCATTCGCGATCCATCATCACACAAGCCAGTACATTGTACTCAACGATACAAAAACGTCATTCATACACACACTGCAAGCGAGTTATTGAAATATTTATTGTCGATATTAACTTGTCTAAATCGAAATTAAAGACACACACTACTTTAATACACATGTCATCATAACTCGATGGTAGTATGTACATATAAGCACAAATGCTTTATGTCACACTCGTGTATTTATTATAATATAGAGATAAAAAGAAAGACACATGCGGATCATCGTCTTGTCGTCTGTATAGGCAATTATAATATATTCATTTTCAGAATAAATCGACTTTGAAGCCTGCTCTCGTATATTATTATATACACACACACACACACACATATATATATATAAAATATATTAATTTAGTCTCGTTGAATCGGATTGGAAATCGCGTTTAAAATAATATATATATATAATATATGTGTTCATTGAGCATTACGTATGCCGAGCGCGTGCAATCTTGTTAATTTTTCTTAATTCATACGATCGCATGTATACATACATACATATATATGTATATAATAGAAGCACGCGCTTGACCGTCGTCGTCGATCAACCTACAAATTAATTTGTAAATGCGAGCAAGCCGGTCTCTCGCCTCCCCATCACACTCTTTCAAAACATCAACACGCGATTATTAATGATTCCCTCGTTGGATAGTAATTTTCTAATTAAACATAAATAATACACACGTCATACACACATATGTATATTAACTTTTAGAGGAGTCAAGTTAAATCGCATAATATAAATTAAACACAAAATTTACGTTATAAATAATTATAATTTATACAGTAAATATATAAAAAAAAACAAATGTATCGTTAGGACATTTGTCGCTATTACTTCTGTCCACTTTGGTCGGCTACAAATGAGTAAGAAATAAAATAGTTTAACGAAATCGTCGCACTAGGGAAATAATATATACATAATATGTAGGTATAAGGCGCATCATTGATTAGATATAATATTCATCATTTATTCATCATAATATTGTATAGTTTTTTTTAATTATTTATAATCAATGCAGCGTGCAAAGTTTTAATTTAAGGCTAGAAAAACACTGTGGTATGACGATCAAACATTCAGATCAGTGAAAAGCAAAAAAAAAAAATCGAGAACAATTACTTAAATGATAATTATTACTGTCCGCACTGATAAATAAATTAATTAACGTTTTTTTACACGTTATATATTATAAACAACAAGTCAAGAGAGAGCGTGTGCGCGTTCGCCAGCTCCATTGTGTCCTCTCATCACCACGTATAGTTATAAGTTTATGACGAAAAAAAGTATTTTTAAAAAATACAAACAAGCGAGCCATACAAGTCATATTCGTATAATTCGTAAATAAACACGGAATGCCCTGCAAAGATAATAATATTATCCTCCGCATACATAGTGTAATAATAATAACAATAATAATAATAATAATAATTATTATTATTATTATTATTATTATTATATACCTACTACAATACGGCGTCAAATGTGTGCTGACAAACGGTCGACGATCCTCCAAGCCAGATTTCGACACATAATAAATATGTTACAATATAATAGTACGGAGACGTGACGCGCAAAAACAATAACGCGCGTAATATCACGCACACGATCTACGTATACATTAATCTGCTACTAGTGTTAATAACCGTATATACAAGATGATTCTGTTAAAGCAAACGCTCGTTATATTGAAAAATATTGATGTCGTTTGGAATATTTTATTTTACAAGATATTATTATAATTTATAATAAATAAAATTAATTTTTCACTATTTTTACCATTAATATTTTTAAGATTTTTACTTTTTGAATAAAACAACACGCGTTATTCACATTATTACTCTAAAGCGAAATATTTTTTCATGAATTTTTTTAAAAAAATGTGTTACTCCACTCGTCTAGATATTATCAAAATACGATTTTAATAAACTATTTGTTCAAAATCCTATGCATTGAAATTTTCAGAAAAAATTCTGTGTCGAATCGGGAATATGAAATTATAAAATAAATGTTATTCGCTATCATTTAAAAATTCGTTTTTTTTTAATGATTTCACACTTAAAAACTTGTCGAGAAAAATTAGTGTTTACGTTTAAAAGGATCACGCTGTATTACGCTTTATACCGCATCAAGTCATTGCTGTATTATTAGTATTACTTTACTCGTCTTTATATTGTTTGTTTTGTTTTGTATTTTTTTGTTGTCTTATTCTCCCGTGTCAGATCCGACGAAAACTGTCCGTTAAGCGAACGCGTGTTTTAATCCATCCAACCACACGATGAGTCGCCCGAATAACCGTTTTTATAATATAACGCCCGGAGCGGCAAAGGGGACATCATCGCGTTGACGACAACCCGTGTAAAATCGCACACGCGTTTTCACGGCGACTTAAGCCCACACCAACCCGTAAAGTTGTTGAACCCGATGACCAATAAACCCATTTTTGTTATTTTTTTTGTTCACCGTTTTATCACGTCAATCAATTATTTGGTTATTTCGTGACGGACTTGCGACGCGGGGCGCCCGCTCAGTAGCATCATGCAGCCACATAGATCTGACGACAACGACGATGACTTGTATACGTCATCATATATTTGTATTTGTCGATAATTATTATTGTTTTACTCGTAACTAAGCGAATCGTCAATGATAATATTATGTTAAAATGCAGGTCAATCGTTAAGCTTTTTTTTAAATTATAATTATAATAATCAAGACGATAAAATATTATCAATAAATTGTATTAGTATAGTAAACGTAATTACACCATGTGACAATTTCTATTATTATAAATTATAATATATTATTACATATAACGATTAATATGACCATTATTTGTGAACCCATTTATTTATTAATTATAATTATATAGTTATACATTTTATCATTTTCGATGTCATAAGTAAATAGGAAGTGAAACAAAATATTATGTCAGGTGGCGACTTTAATTGAAATTCAAGGTTTCAAAAGTGTTTTGTGGATTCAGATATCCCAGATATACATTAAAATTATCGGTGATGCCGATGAATATTTTATTCGCTTACGGCATTCGGCATTGCCAATGTTTTTAAATATGTAAAGGCGTAATTCTAACGCTGTTCAGATAACGGGATAAGATAAAATACTAGATTTTGGCGAGTCCACGCATGTTTATGTCAAAACCTGTGTACCCGAAACAACCATTAAATAATGTAGAGGTAGACATCCATACATATATAGTTGTAGAACATTATTGTCTTTAAATATGGAAATTATATGTATAAAATACAAATAAAACTTCAAACATATTGGTATAGGTTCGATCGTATTATATACAAGACAGCTAGTCCAACCACAATATATTATATATGAATTGTTTTACCGTTAATATTTTAAAACTCAAATAATTATGATTTTTTTTTTAAATTTTAATAATAGCGAACCAAAGTATATAATCCGTAAATCCCATCGTTCCCGTTATACATATTATAATTCAAAGAAATTGTTAAACAAAATTTGTTAAATATACCTCATATCTAAATACCTTTATTACGTATAACAGCTATTATACGTATTAAATTAAAATAAATATATTCAAAGTACAAAAATATGTATGCCCTCATAAATCTACATACTTATTTTATTATATCCTGTGAAACAATTTAACATATTATTACTTATTATAATAAAAAGATAAATACATTATAAATCAAGAAATAGAGAGTAAAATATACAGCAATCAAATTGTATACGATATTACCAGTAAAACGCGTGGGATATGAGAAATTGGTTCGCTTAATATAGAAAGTGAGACGAATAAAATTATAATTTTGCTCTCCCGATCTCTAACCAATTGAAAACATACTTACTACAGCCACGTTTTAAAAATAGTTACTTTTCTTAGCCCCTACCCTTCTAAACAGTTTAGAAACTGATTTACAAATTTTGGCATAACTTGCAGTGAAAGCATAAATAAAATAAGAAATATACAAATAAATCATGTTCTTTTTATAATTTATCAACATTACATTTTACGATTTCTATTTAATTTGTTTATAATCTATTTCAAAAATATTATGCACAAAGGCTTTAACATCGATGGGCTAATTAGAAGCCACAAACAAAATACTCGATTAAATCGAAATTTACGACAGTCAACGGAACTTACTACATTTATATATTTACTACGACTAGAGTTAGGATGTTTATGCACTAAAAAATAGTTAAATTAACATGAAAAATTTAAAAAATATGCTTCAAAAAATAAAAAATTGTGGACAAATAAAATGCAATATAATATAGTGACAAATTTAATTATAAATAGAATATAAATAAATGGGTCAGTACTATTTATGCGTGTTCGTTATTTTCTATTCCATTTTTGAATTTTTTTATTTACTATAGAAAATTAAATAAAATATAAAAAAAATACATTTAAAAAAGAGTTGCATTGAATAATTGAATAATTATTGTTTGTTTTAAATATTTCATCGTAAATCTTCATCTATTTGGTATTATTATGTTTTTAAAACTATTAGAATTTGTAAAATACTTTGCAAAATACAGATAATCAATCTTATATTAGATTTAGTTAATTAAATATAAAATTACGGTATTTTTCAGCATTTTGCATTGAAAACCGTCAGGTTGAAA